TGGTATGATGTCGCGAGACTGAATTGGCTGTCGTGGGTTGCTTAACAATACTAAGCTTGAATTTGTCTGTTGGAATACTTCTGGAACTGAACATCCTTGCTGAAATTGGTGGACTCTTGGGAAATAAATATGAGGTAGAAAACTAATCTTCCAATCTCAAAAATAATACATTGTATAGGGCATTTCTACGTCGTGGCAAGTAATACGCCATAACATGCGTGGTGTCGAATCAAAATTTGGAACATCAATCGCGAGAAAATCTTTGTCACGACATGCAGTGAGAATTGGCACGACGTGACTTTCAAATGTTGGGAAAAACCATTTACGCCATGTCACGAGTTAGCAAAGCTCGCAGATCGATTTCTCACTAAAAGTAATCAAACAATCAGAAGGTGATTAGGCTCTCGTCTAGTCTCTCATATTTTCATCCCTTATGTAGCATTGAAAGCACAATAGACTCCTCAGTTTTGCTCCATGTCGAATGTGTACCCCACATTTATTTGTATGTGTCACACCCTCGGCCTACGGCAGAAACGCCGAACTGTGCAACGTTATAATGTTGGATCACAGATGTTGACCATACATTGAACAATACAAAAAAATATAAATATAAATATCACTTACATTATGGATAAAAATATTACATCGGGATATTTTGGAAATACTTTAATTTCTAATACAAATGGTGCTTTAATAGATGAGCATAACTACCCTACATTTATTCGTCAATCAACTGTTGCTTTTAGAGGTGCAATCCTCCATCTTGCGGTTTCCTAGGAATACATATGGTTTTGAGAACGTCAACGTAATGTTGGTGAGTTCACAAGTTTTGTATTTTATACTTAGAAAATATTTTTTGTTTATAACTTTGTTAATTTTAAAAGTATTTTGATTCCTTGAAAATTCTATTATTTATAAGTACTATGGCTTCTGAAATTCTTACTCCTTATATGCATTATTCGTGTATTAATTCTTTAGGAGTGTATTTTACGGAAAGAAGCGTATTCTTATCTATAGGGTAGGGTGACTAGGAGTGAACTTCCGTACTCCATATAGGTTAATCAGATACCGTCTAATCTTAACCTATATAACAGTATAGTTATGAAAACATTAGAATCTTAATGGTTTTGTAATTATCATTAATATATAATTATATTTAAAGTAGATATTCTTAGCAAGGCCAAATTGGTGGAGTGACAATATAACCATTTGAAAAGATGGACATACTAACACACTACTATTATACGTTTAATGCGGTCGTGGAGACTGCATAATCTATTACCGGTATTCGATAATAACGATTCGATGTAATGTTAATCCTTTGGCCAATAGTAGGTACCATGTTACACTATAGAAATGGCTTAGCATAATGATTAGATATATAATATTATTTCTTTAGATTCGGTTGGGTCTACCCCAGCGTAATGACTAGGTATTTTATTATCCGAGAGGTTCTGGCCAGAATAACGGATAGGTACTAATTTATCCTAGGGATTTTGCCAGTATAACGACTAGGTATAATATTATTTATGAAGATTGGGCAGAGTATCTACCGGGCATAATATTATATCCTAAGAGTTAGCAGAATAACTATATAAAGTATATTTATATAGAATATAAATTTATATAACGCAATGATAATGACAATATAATTATTAAAGTAATTATTCATGTATTCCGCCCCCCCCCCCCCTTATATTTGATAAAAATATGAAAAAGGGCCGTGAAACTCACTCTTGAAGTGTGCGTTAATAGACTTTAGACTGTGGCTGCTGGCGTTGGGGGCTCGGGATTGACCGAACATGAGAGGAAAGCAAAATGATAATTTAATTATAAACTAAATATATTTCCAAGTTCTTACAGAGAATTTTTCGAAGAAAAAAGAGAGAAGAGTAAAAGGATTCAACGTAAGAATGGAAGGGGAGATAACACTTTATATATGGCCAAAATGGAAAAGCATGGCGCGCAAGGGGAGGGGCGCGGTGCGATTTGATGGCGTGGCTCCTCCCATGACGTGACATAACTTTCCTTTAGGTTACACTGACAATCTTTCCAGCTCCTCCAAAAAAATTTCCGGATCATATCCCTCACCTTCTAGCTCAAGTTCATGTACCACTTCCTCAAGAAAAACATCAAGATCATCGAGAATTGGAAACTACATAATATAAAAAAATTTAAAAAATTAAAAACTAAACTATATAAGAAATTTAATAAACAAATAAAAAATCTGAACTAAACACAATTGTTCCTCGACAATGACACCAGAAGCTTGATGTGTTTATTATCCACTAGTTTTAAATTCATAAATCATAATTTATCACTTCTAAACTAGTACACACACTAGGCAGTGAACCTAATCATATGGTAGTATAGTTATGGTAAGAAAGGGTGTCGAACATTAGGGAATGTGAATGGTTTGGATCAAATAATTCAAATGTTGATTAATTAATAACAGTAATGTAAAAAAAAGGGGGAGGGTTAAACTAAATTAAACTTGCTTTAACACTCAATTAATAAAATGAAGTAAATAACTAAACTAAAATAATAGATAAAAAGTACGTTCACTAGAATACGAACACAAGTTTTTATGTTTGATTTATTAGAAGTGCAAATGATTAATGAGTTGATTACCGAATTGTAGTATGACTTGTTATCTTGGTCGGATTTGCTACTATTAATAATTAATGAACGACTAATACAAAGATCATGCACTTAGTGAACACATAATTAATTAAATTTATTCCATCTATGAAGAATATGATAAACTGATTTTTTTTCTTAATGGTCATAACAATCAATCGAAGCATTACATGGATAATTAATACTCTCTAACACAGTCAAGTCACTGATTAATATCACTTAACCCTAGGATTTGATCAATTCCTAGCCCTAAGAGTTTAATGGTTATAAACTAATTAGGATTTACGTTAATGTATTTAGATTGGTCATTTTAACTACATATAACTCAACTATATACAGTAAAAATCATAACTTTAACATGAAAGGTAAAGTGATCAATCGAACACAAGTATTAACCAAACTCACAAAAGCCTACTAACAAAATCATCAGATATTAACGAGGGTTCATCTATATCTAGCGAAAGTAAAGGTTTTTACAACATATTCAGTAAACTAAAGCATAAAAACATCACCAAAAGATATTGAAACATGATCCTCAAGAGAACTCGAAGTGAAATCTTGATGCAAATAACGCTTGAATCTTCAAATCCTTGCTCCAATCAAATCTCTAGCTTCGAAATCGACTCCTAAAGGGTTTCTAGACGTCAAAACGAAGTAAAAGTCACAACTATAGGTTGCCAAAGGTTGCACCATGATTAGAGTTGGAAATTTCACATTTTTGTAGATTCAGTGACGCCACGACGTAGTTGAGATCACACCATGTCTTGGTGATCGGTTTCCTTGTTCTACACGAATGCATAGAATGACACTGGTAGTTTTCAAGATTTTCTGACATTCTACATAGGACACGGTCCATCTAAAGGAGGGCGCATCGGCCCTTCAACTTATTTTTCCGGATTTGTCAATTTTTCGTCCTTTCCAGCTCTGTTCTCCTCCTTTTGCATTTCAACTCTGATTTTAACTGTAAATGAACATTTGAAAGCATATTAAATATCATATATCATAAAATATAACATTTTTATCAAATACATTACGATAATGGCCTGAAATATATAGTTAAATAAAGTAATATCACTTGTAAATCTTTACGGAGATAGGAGATAAAGAATATGTAAGAATATAGAAAATTAACATCTAAATGGCTATACAAAATATCTTTACAAAAAGTCCTAAACAAACTATAAAACTCTTATAAATTAAGAAGAAATCATAAATAAAGATGAGGCTAATTAAATTAATACATGTTATTTACGGAACCTATATATAAAACTAAACATGCAATAAAAGGGTTTCGGAACATCTAAAAAATTATCAGTGTATGTGATATCTATAGGATACCATGTATAGGGTCAGATATGGTTCTAGTTGGTGGAGAATGAGAAATAACTTGTAAGGCTGTAGTTAGTTCAAGAATTTCAACATGCTCAAGTTTCTGATTCAAGGTTTTCTGATTCAACGCCTAAAACCTCAGGTGGTCAAAACGTTGGATTACTTGTGGAGTCATTCGACATTTGATTATTGACTAGTTAATAGTTAGATATGTAATTTAGAGTCTACGTGTTTTGTCGGGTTTGAATTTTATTGAGTATTCGGGTTGCTCTCGTTTTGGATTTTTCCATTTCTTGCAATGTATGCCTTTTTTCATATACTAAAACTACTGTTTCCAAAAAAAAAAAATAATAATAATACCGACTATCGATATATGATTTTTATACATTATTAGTTAGAGAACAAATTAAACTCATGTTTGGTTCATGGATTGCAAAGGAATTCAAAAGAATTGAAGTAAAAGATTCGGTGGTTGACGTATTTAGCTGACAAATGGATGAAAGTTAATTTGGTTAAAATACATCTAAATACACAATTCACAGATTCTATCATTTTTTGACACAAGGCCAATAAATCATGTAAATTCCATTCATAAATTATGTTCCCTTTTCAAGTAAACGTTGATGTTACATTTTCATTCACTTTAATAAAACTAATTGTCTCTAGCAAAGATATATGTCCTTTTTTTTTTTTTACTTTGTCTTTGTTTAAACACATTCAAAATCAAGATTCTATCATTTCTATGACACATCGCCAATAAGTCACTTTAATTCCATTCCTAAATTATATATATGTTCTATTTAAGTAAATGTTGATGCTACATTTTAATTAAGTTTTTAATAAAAAAATATTGTCTCTATCATTGTCTTAAGCCCACTTTGTTGAGTAGACACATTCCACATTGCCATCTATATGTATTCATTTATATATTATATATTCATGTTTACGTGCAGCCAGGGAGTTCAATCTCTATATATTATGAAACCTATGTATCATCATTTTCATATTAATTCTTTCCGGACGTAGAAAACATGGAGTTCTTTCTCCCATTTTCAGCGACTATCGCAGCTATTGTTTTTTCTTTTCTACTAAAATTCCTGCTGCAAAGCATTAAAGGAGAGAGAGTGAAGAACACAGAACCACCTCAAGCAAAGGGCCGATGGCCGGTAATCGGACACCTGCGCCTTCTTGGTGGACCCGAATTACCTCACAGGGTCTTAGGTGGATTGGCTGATAAATATGGCCCCATCTTCACCATCAAGCTTGGTGTTCACAATGTTTTGGTGGTGAGTAACGCTGAGATGGCGAAAGAGTGCTTTACCACAAATGATAAGGTCTTTGCAAGTCGACCCAAGTCAATGGCAGTAGAACACATGGGCTATAACTATGCCATATGATAAATCAGGCCGAGTAATGGTCCAATACTACCAATGGACGTGAAGATCTCATGGGAGGCTACAGGTGTGCCTATCGGTTTAGCATGGAGAATATTTGATCGGTCTAGAATGTCATGCGCATATTTACGCATATTTAGACTGGCTAAGAAATAAGCCATCATCCGTATATGAAACTTCAAGACCCAAGAATTAGTTTAGGTCACCAAGATCCTTAACTGCAAATTCTCGATCGGGTTTAGTAATAAACGAAGAGATAACTTGTTCGTTGTTGCCGGTTAAAATGAGATCATCAACATAAACAAGAAGATAAATAATGCACGCTTCCCGTTTAAAAACATAAAGAGAACTGTCTGACCGAGCACACGTGAAACCGTTTGCAATAAGAAATGAACTAAGACAATGAAACCATGCTCGCGGAGCTTGTTTTAGCCCATATGATGCTTTCTTTAACCTACAAACGTGATTAAGAAAACGAGGGTCGACAAAACCAGGTGGTTGTTCCATAAATACAGTTTCATTCAAACAACCATTGAGAAAAAGCATTTTTGACATCGAGTTGATGAATATGTCATTTATTGATAACAGCAAGAGACAAGACAATACGTATCGTGGCTGTCTTACCTACGGGATTGAATTTAAGAGAATAATCAAGACTGGGAACTTGATAAATCCTTGAGCCACAATTCGTACTTTGAGACGTGCAATCGATCTATCTAAATGATAATTTATGTGAAACACCCATTCGGAACCGACGACATTTCCAGTAGTAGGGCGCGATACTAAAACCCAAGTATCATTTTGTTGAAGAGATGTCATTTCTTCATGCATTGCTAACATCCACTTTCAGTTTTTAGCAGTGGATTCGAATCCAATTTGGATCCTTTTGAACAAATAAAGCTGAGTAAAGTGCATGAGAAGATGTATGAGCTAAATCCAATTGGTGTCGAGGCTTGAAAATCCCAACTTTTGCTCGTGTGGTCATCTGATAAGTTGAAATAGATTGTTGATTTGTATTCAACGGTTGTTGTGGTTGTGGTATTTGTGACAACCGTCAAAATTCGAGTCGGTTCTAGATTTGACTAGACTTAGTTGCACATATAGGCACAACACATATTAGGCTTAGTGATTAGAAGCTAAGTTATAACCTAGTAGAAACTTGGAAACATATAGAAACAATGGATGGTGTACTTAGATTTCACATTGATATGTGAATTCTATAACTACTTAACTGTAGAGACTATCCACATTCAGGTCACTCTTTGACTCGAACACCTTTTCATGAATCATATACACACATTATGCACTTGAGCTAGTAGTAGAAATTAGGTTGGAGCCTCATAGAAACTTAAGTCAAAGTTGAAGACTAGGACTAGTATACTTGATTCCTGAATTTTGCTTGAATATCGGAATCACTACATAGATTGCCAATAAACCGATAAAATAAATTACAAACATTAACTATAAAAGAGTTATAATACCATAAGTTAATTTGAAGTCTCAAAGATTCAATTTATCTTAATATCCAATGATTTATTAAACTCAAAAACCCTAAAAGCCATAAAAACTCATATTTATAAACTTTAACCTTAAAAACTTGATAAAAATAATTATGAACCTTATAATATTATCTTATAATAATGAAAATTATGAAAATGTTTCAAGAAAAATAAAATTTCGGTCATTGATATTTAACCTTATTCCACAAGCTAAAAACTCAAGAGTTATTAAAGAATCTTACTTAAAATACACATTTTATAAAATTTGGAGGAATTTTTATAAAAGAATTGAGAAGTTTATAAAATTAATGGAAGGAAAATTTAATATCCTCTCTCCTCCCTCATAAATTCGTGCATCCTCACTAACACCCCATTTCCCCAAAGTTTGAATGATTTTTCTCTTCCCCACACTCCATCTTCATCACTTTTCTCTCTCACTCTTCAAATCCCCAACACCATTTTCTCTCTATTCCCCTCTCTATAACCACGAAAATTTTCCAGAAAATGAAGCCAAAAACACACCTTAAACTTTAAATCTTCATCATCTAGGGTTGTTCTTCAAGGTAATCACAAAAATCCTTCAATCTACCTTCAAAATCTCAAGTTTTCTTGCATATCTTCTTCTTCTCCACCATTCTATGCATGGATTATTCACATGCATGTTCATGTGGTTATGGTGATATTATTTCACCCAAAAACCAACATGCATGTGATGATCTTCAACCTTAGAGGCTTGATCATCAAAGTTTGTTATTAAAAAGCATTCAAATAGGTTCATAAAGGATTTATTCCCAAATAAATATCTATAACAACTTTTCTGATCACATCCGATTTATCCCAGTATTTCCATAACAAAATGAGATGTTCTACAAATTTTCATAAAATAATTCATTTTTATCGAATTATTATAAATATTGCAAGAAAATAGGGCAATACCTCATATAAAATACTTTCTGAGGTCTATAAATCCTAGGTAAATTCGCGGATGACCCCTAAAGTGAATGATGACATCTCAGTGAGTTTCATCGATTTTTGTTATAGTTTTCTATAGTTTTGAATTTTCTTTTTGTTTTATCCAAATAAATCATAAAACCACTTTAAGTAATTTGAAAAGTCTATCTAATGTGGAGTACTCAGAAAAGTATTTTCAGAATTTTTCATGATTCATTCCTATTTTTCTCCGATTTTTGTATTTATAATGGACTAATAATGGGAAAAATATTTGTACTCATCCAAACTTCATGAAAATTTACCATAAGACCTTAAACGATATTAGAATACTAAATAAAAATTTTGATGATTTTTCTATTCAGTATACTATTTTTCTCCTATTTTCTAAGACTAAATAACTTAAATCCACAAAATCAGATTACACTATATAAAAATCACCATTGGTATTTTTCCCAGATTATGTACGCTGTAAATGAAATTTACAAAAATTTTGGTAATTTAATTTAACAGTTTGATAATTATTCACCATTTAATGATTATTCAAGAGCATAAAACAAAGAAAAATAGCAAAACTAATTGAAAAATATCTTTTATATTTTTCACAGCTTCTATATGTATAGTAACAGTGTTAAAAAAAGGTTGGGCAATTTTTTAAACCATTTTCAATTTATTTCAATTTTTATTAGATTAAATGCACAAAAATCATAAAAATGGGTTCAACAGTTTAGAAATCCATTTTTACATTTTTCCCAGCTTACGTATGTTCAATTGTAGTATTATAAAAAGTTTGAGAATTGCTATCATCTGGATACTATTTTTCACGAATTTATATTTTTATGAAGGCTTAAAAATTTGGAAAAATAGTTAATCACATCAAAAATTCAAGGCAAAAATTCTGGAAGACCTCCACTGTATTTGGAATGAAAATGCAAAGTTTGATAATTTTTGGAAACTGTTTGATAATATTTTAAATTTTTAGGAGCTTAAAAACACATTTAAATGGGTTGAAATACCCTCAATTAATATTATAAAAATCTGGAAATTAATATCCAAAATTTTCTTAATCACATGAGTTATAAATTTTCACCATTTCAGAAAAATGTTTTTAACTTATCAATATTAAAATTTGACACAATATTGACATATTTCTATTGTAGTGGTAAGTATATTAGCACTAAATTTCGACTAGAGACTCACTAGCAAATACCATTATTGTAGGAATCGATAGTAGTAGGAGTGGAGCATAGTCAAGGCACCATTTGCATCATCTCAATGTATTGTGAGTATTCACTACTCCCCCTATTTTTGGTTTTTAAATGTTTTGGGGAGGAAAAGCATGTCCTAAACTATTTATGTTCGTTGTATTTAATTGACTCGTATAAACTTGGTTACTATATTTTACATATTGTGAGTATTCACGACTCCCCCTATTTTCGGTTTTTAAATGTATTGGGGTGGAAAAGCATGTCCTAAACTGTATATGTTCTTTGTATTTAACTGACTCGTATAAACTTGATTACTATATTTTGCATATTGTGAGTATTCACGACTCCCTTTTTTGGTTTTTAAATGTTTTGGGGTGGAAAAGCATGTCCTAAACTATTTATACTCATTATATTTATTTGACTTGTATAAACTTGATTGCTATATTTTGCATATTGTGAGTATTCACCACTCCCCTATTTTTGGTTTTTAAATGTTCTGGGGTGGAAAAGCATGTCCTAAACTTTTTATGTTCGTTGTATTTATTTTGACTCGTATGAAACTTGGTTGCTATATTTCGTAGGTATGTATATGTTACTTTAATTGATGAGGACTGTATCGCGGTTAAGTCCTTGGAATCTCTAGACACAACTCATTAACTCTTTTGAGCTTATGGTTATTATGGTATCAAGAGGTAGACAAGTCCTCACTCGCACGATTCGCTTGAGTGCATTTTAACATTTTATACACTATGTTTTCGATACACATAGTAGTCAATAGGGCACGATTCGTTTAATAGGCTTGGGTTGTGAACTCATGAATGGAAACTTGATGCACATACGAATCTTTATGCACAAATGAAACTTTGTTTCTCATTATAGCAATGATATTTTATTACTGAAGACTTATATACTTATCTAAGCAATGAAATTGTTTGCTCCTTGTAACAACGAATATTATTTCGATTCGTGAAAACTCATTTTAGAAATATACTTCTATTTATGGAAACTTTTCTCAAAACTTTTATTTCGATTCTTGAAACCAATATTAGTTTAATCTGTGAGTACTCACCAACTATTTTTATAGTTGACGCTCGTTTTACATGCTTTTCTGGAATCATCTAGTAAAAGGCACGTAGAGACACACCACTTGTAGGAGCATTTGCATGTGTTGACTTTGAAATACACTGTATTTTCTTTTAAAAAGTTTTTCAAACTCATTGTAAATTTGTAATGATTTTTAATACTATGGTTGTGTTGGATTAGTGTCTAAGTCCATAACTATAATTGGTAGATACTTGACCCGACCCGCCATGGTCCATTTGGGTTGCATGGCATCAGAACAATTGGA